ACAATGTATATTGCCACTGCCGGACACCCGGTTTGTTGCTGACCTAGCATCCCCGCGTATGGTGGCGACCGGGCAATTATTAGGTTAGTCGGAGAGGGGACCGTCCGAGCTTAGAACTTGAAAACGTTAAATAACAATACAACACCTATAACTAAAACATTTTAAATTGTATAATATTAACAAGAACTAGAAATCAACGACGCATGCAAAAGCATGTGCCGTTGATGTAAAACTTTAAAATAATGCAAAAAAATAAAAAAAAGCTGTAAAAGATTTGTGTACATAAATTTAGAATAATTTTGATGATGCGACAAGCCAAACTGCACAGTAAGAAGCTCGCCTCTAAATAATACAGAACTGCGGTGCGGGAAAGTCCAACTCCGCTTATTTTTGGGTATGTTTAATGATATTTCTTATATACATATAATAATGTGCTGCAATTTACTAATGGTTCGTTTATAATTTGGAATAAGTTCTGTGGTGGATGTTGATAACAAAACCGAACACAAAGAAGAGAAAGGTAACTTTTTTTGAATTTTGGTGCCCCTTTTAAAGTGTGGGTGGTTCTCCCATTTTGTGAGAGGAGTGTGGCTTAAATTTGTTGTCTGAAAATTGGTAACATCTGGTTACCGTACCGACAATTTGTGTTTTAATCGAAATCCCTTATTTGTGTAATGTTGGCTGTTAGTGGACATTGGTGGGTTTAAATTCATAAAATTTTTGTGAAGCATCTCTGATATAATCTATCATGGGTACGATGTCGTTGCAAAGTTGTCGTAATTCCCTTAGGGGTGTATATTATATCTTGTTAAGTTACTTGTAAGGCAAAGGAATTTGTGGAAATATATAGTACCAGTTAACCACCAATTAAAAAAATCTATAAAAGTATTAAAACCGGTTGACACCCACTAATATTTTCTGGGAATTACGCTGGAATTTCCATGAACGTAACTTAATCCTTGGCCAGACATTTTGACATTCCAATAAGCACAATAATTAAAATGTTATATGCCAGCACCTGTCTCTTGACTAATAATTTAGTAATTATGTAAATCTTTAACAAATAAGTCACATTTAAGGTGTAAATATTCATACAGTGACTAATACGTAATCTAAATATGTTTCACAGTTTTTGATGTTAGGATTTTTGTTACAATAAATATTAATGATGATATTCACGATGTCCTTATTTATTACATCTTTTATGAATTTTGAATTTAAATTTACTTAGCTCATTTTTTGCTTTCGCCTACGATATACAAACAAAAATGTTACGCTGTATCTGCAATATAACATTCTATTCCTCAAAATCCCAAAAAAGTTTTTGGCTCTTGCTACTTTCTGAATTAACATCAGTTAATAATTTACCTACAATGTTTCAAACTGCTAATCATTGGAGTTCCAATAATGATTAAATTAAACACTACAAAGCAAATACAACTAGGTAACAACAACATTTGTTGTAAATTAATCGATATTTACATTACAAATTTAACAGATTACAAATAATTATTATTATGAAACTATTCCCAGATAAACAGGCCTCATTTTGAACCTCATTTAATATTTTAATCATTTTAATGCAGTGCTAACCTATATTGGTTTATTCTTAATTGATGTAATAATAAAAATTAAATTAACTAACAATACTTCATTAACAATAATCACTTTTTCGTACTCTAACCTTAATTTTACATTATAACCAATCGCGTAACAGGAAATTTGTATTCAGCATTAAATTTTAGTAAAACCGTTCGTATCGCAAAAATACACCTTACAAAAAACACCACTCTAATCGCTTAAGTCTTTGCTTTGTATCCGCTATTAACTTTGTGAACTCTAACTTGAAAATGACTTCATCCGTAAGATAGTTAGTTTCTATACCTGTTAGATTAGTGGAAAAATCTTGGTAACTCTTCTTTTAATGAAATATGATGCAAAATTTCTACCCACCCGTGTTTAACACTTTTTTTGCATAGAAACATCTGAAAATTCATCGTGTAACTTCAGGTGAAAGTACATAATTTAAAGATTCATTTGCGTGTCAAAATTTTTTATCGTAAGGCTTCATTATAATCGATAAATTGCAATTTATGGTCAAAGTTTTCTAGCAGCTTGTTATGTTACAGATTAGTAATCGATTCTTAAGTTTCTGAACTTTAAATTTTATACGAGGTTCGTAAGTTGTAGAAGAAAATAGACTATTTACTTTATAAACTGTCACCCTGTGAGAAAGTTTGGCTTACAGAAGTCGAATAGTCTGAAATAGTAAACTGACAATCCCAGAGACAATTGATTAAAAATTTATTATGTAACTTGGCGTTTTATTGAGGAATGCTAGAAAAATTTAAATCCGATACGTCTACTATATTTTCGGTTATCAAAGCAATAATAGTACTCAAATTATACGTACAAGACATACAACATAAAATATATATGTAACAATTTCATCTTTCAAAACAAATTTGAATTTAGTCGTACAATTTGAGTTCATGGTCAGGTTTAGTTGTTTCGAAAGAAACTGAAACTACCTTTGCAAATTTGATTCTGTTTGTAAATTTCTCCCCGTTCTAAGTTGATATTAGGCGCATGAAATTTATTCTATCAAAAAGAAGAATGGTTGAAGTTAAACAATTTGTTGAAAGAAATATTCGTTAATATGCATAAAATAGAACGACCTTTGACAACGTTATTCTAAAAACCAAACTGATCCTAAATTTTAGTAATAGAAATTAGTCAAAAATATGAAAATTTGTATTATAAAATAATTATCTAGTTAAAATTTATTCCAATATCTTGTGCTCATACCCATAACCACATGAACTACTTAAGGCCGATTTCCTCACATCTAGTTTGGTTCCACACCCGGTTCCAGATATAACTTGGGTGATGTCTAACATTAGGGTTTGCCGATTTTTAATAGCTAGGTTTAAAAACCGTTTTTTTTTGACGAATCTGTTTTTAAATTTAAAAAACCTGTTTTACATATTTAGATATTAATACGTAAAAATTAATTAATTATATGATTGAAAACGTTAACATTTTGACTTAAAATCGCCTCGGGCACAAGCAATTTGTAGAAAAAGTTTACTGTAAACTATCTTCAGGAGGAGAAGGTTTGGCATGCAAATTTATACAACATGATAGATGATAAAGTGAATTTTATTTCATTTTAAAATGTTAACACATAAACTAATTTTATCGGAAAACGTATGACAAAAAACAAAAAAGATACTTTTATACTAATCAAATTTGGGGGTGATATCGACTAATATTTTTCCCTATAACTCGTGATTAAATATTAAAGGAACTGAAAAATTTTACAGGTTTGTACGGATTTTAGTTATTTTAATTTTTTTTGGTTTTGTATAAATAGAGTAGTATATTTTATTTTGTTATATTGTTGTAGTTCCATAAATATTAAATAAACTGAAAAATTTTAATATAAGTATAAATATTTTTTTACTGTTTTTATTACATTTTGATTTTTATTTGCAAAAAGTTGACCATCCGGTTTTTTTTTGGAGCAGTAGAATTCGAAAACCGGTTTTTTCAAAAGTCAAATTTTGCATAAACTCTACCTAATATTAAGTTATGGCCGTTTTTCTTTACTTCAGTGTGATATGTGGTGCTATGTTTTATCCATTGATTAAACTAGTTAAATTTATCTGTTACTTCAGTTATTATATTTATCATAACGGTAATTTGAACCTTACAGTAAAAGAACTATTCAGTTAATTTTTTGGTGCAGTTGATATTTTATCTGTTAAAACACGTATCAAATACTATTTAAAGCTGAAGAAATCAACCATTAATATCATGTCTAGTAAATTCTAGACGTTAAATGTTACATACGTACAGTATATTAAGAGTATTTAGGATTTACGTGGATATATCCTATGGGAAAGTATAAAAATGATGCATACGATTTGTTCGTTACAATCAAATCCTGTAAGAGCTTATCTGTGGTCTATCCTTGCAGTCACGTCTGTGGTCGTTTTGTCAGTTTTATCTTCCGCCGACACTAATGGACAGGGTCGACTCATTATAAATAAAATCACCATTCAGTAAAAATACTGCTGTCAATCAAATCAAATATGGATTGCTACACTTTACATAAATTATGTTGATAACCAATACAATAAATATACAATGTGGTGTCAGGTTTTCTCTTATTATTATTTTTTTAAATCCAACAGTGTCGTTGGTTTCATATTAGAAGTACATCGTTTTTTGTTTACAGGTGCTTACAGTTTTCGTTTTCGAGTTATTGGCCATATCGACATTTTCCCTAATGTTTAAAGTTTTTTTTTCAAATAGTTTGGCAATCCTTTTAATTGTCTAGACGGTGGCGCAAAAAATTTGGTATTTTATTCGATTTATTAAAACAGGTTCAATCATCGCCAGATGATGCCAGTTTAGTTGGCGAAACGTGTGTCGAGTGTATATGGTGTTTTGTAGAATACCACGTCAGGATTAGCTTCATATTAAAGGTTCCAACCCACTTCAGAATTAAGATTGGTGTAAATAACAAATTTATATTTTATATTTTGCACATATAAGGTTACTTGTCTTTCGGGATCATGAAGGAAAAGAAAAAAATGTGTTATTGTTCGAGTGTACCTTTTATTTTTACAACTATTTTAACAACAAACGTGACCTGCTCTTTTTTTATCGCTTCCATCACACCACATTAAAAAACAAGCATGAAATAAATAAAGTATATAAATACGCACTAAACGCACAGTAAAACTAATGAAAGTGTCTATAATCTTGAACGCAGTAAACGCATTAGAGGCCACTGATTACTGTGCCTAGCGACATGCCGAGATAATCCACTGATCGCTGGAAACCTGTTGAAATGCGTAATTCTGGGCGCATGTCGTATATTCGCCCTCTGCCTCCGCACGATAGAGCGCATGTTCTGATAATCTGACAGATTAATCTATAATTGTATACAACGTTTATACAAAGATTATCTTTTAATTAATGTAATGATATGACAGATGGTCGAGATTCAAGCGCATTTGGCTCTCACCAAAATGTTCCGGGTTCGATCCCCGGTCATGGCAGTGGAATTAACTGTGACAGAGATTACTTCCACAATACATGAATATTGGGTGTGTCTATTGCCTCTAAATGTGTATCCCTCCCGCACAACGTTAGTTCAGGCATACAGGGGATTGTACTATATGAGGCGTTATTATTATTAAAAATAAGTAAGTTTTTGTAATTCTGCTGTCTTTTCGGGCAATTGACTCAGATTTGATATAAAGTCTCAATGAATTTCTTTTGTTCATTATTATTAGTTTCAGTTTCCATACTAATAATCATTGAAATAGAAATTGGATTTATCAAATAATTATTAATTTAAAATTACAGAATGTTTTGACTTACAATGTACTCGTGTATTTAATATGTACTGTCCAGTGATATATAACGTGTTAACAACATATAATTGATGTGATTTCATCATTATTTCCAAATAACCATATAATTTGTTCCGATGTGGAAGTTGCAGGTAAAACATGAATTAAACATGTTTTTTTAATTAATAGTAGGACGTTCAAGTTCATTTTCGTTTTTTTATTCGAATTAATTTTAATGACTTACAGGTAATAAATTAACCATACTTTTTTTTTGTTTTTTTTATTTACGTATTTTTTTGTTTCTATTAGTTAGACAGTTTGTTATAGATTTAGTTTAACTTTATCTGCAGTTATTATTTACAACAAAGGTTTGGTGTCATATCCAAAAAAAAAACAATTATGCAGCTACGGACAAGTGTTTTGGAGCTATTGCCCCTCATCAGCGTACCGTAGCTAAGGTTGGATATAGGATGGGATAGATCAAGAACAAGAACGAAAATATGGCTGGAAAGTAGAGTACACAGTACTCAATTCGTGCCTTCATGTTCCCATATGCCACAAATGGGGCTTTGATTAGCACAGTCAACACACAGAGCTCTATGTGTACTGCTCGTCTCCACCTGGCACATACAAACAAAACAAGATAGATTTATTGGGGTTCAAAATATAGCAAAGAAGGTTTAGTGCCATATCCCAAAAAAAAACAATTATGCAACTACGTACACGTGTTTCGGAGTTATTGCCCTTCATCAGCGTAGTGTAGCCAAGGAACTGGATGGGATAGATCAGGAACAAGAACATAAACCCCAATAAATCTATCTTGTTTTGTTTGTATGTGCCAGGGGGAAACGAACAGTACAACACATAGAGCTCTGTGTATAGACTGTGCTCATCGAGGCCCATTTGGGGCACATGAGAACATGAAGGCACTAATTGAGTACTGTGTACTGTACTTTTCAGCCTTATTTTAGTTCTTGTTCCTGATATATTCCAATAAAAACAAAACAATAATCACCATTTAATCAGGCTTCATCAGAATCTATAAAAATGAATATACTCTGTACACTTATTAACAAAAGAACATGAAGCGGTTAACTTACCAATCTAACAGTTATTTAAAAACTAGTACTTTATACAATAAACCAAACGGTTTAACAATTTTTTACAATTATAATCAACAATTTAAAATGACACCTCTATCTGTACAGAATTCTAAACTTACGCTTATTGTAGATCTTCTTCTTTGGTTTCTCCACACTATATAAACGGAAAGTAATTTTGACGTCTTTAGTCAAGGTGAGCTTAGGATGAGTTGTGCCATAACAGTTTAACTCATGATCATGACACACACACTACAGACCCAATTGATAAGACAATCGTGTCTACAGTATTCGATCCGCGAACCACAGTTAACACGCTGTGGCACAACTATCCCCTAGTTAGTATTCCCAAACTTTAATACATTTCCGTAAATTTTACTCAGCCCTTCGATATATTTTCTTGGATTTATACAGTTCTCAGTGCATTTAATATGTATCATTCCGAGTACTAATCCTTTTTCTAAATTATTTTCTGTGTCCAATATTTTTACATTTTCCAAATCGAATTTATTTTGAACTATTTACATGTATTGCCAATGAAGTTGACGCGTCTGGGTGATTTTTAAAAAAATCAATTTGAACTACCCGAAACCGTCTGTTTCACTTTCCGTTGTCCACCCTGTATATTGTTGAGTTCAGGAAAAGCAAGGGGAAAAGTATGATTCTGAAAAATCTCTATTTACTTTTGGGGAAAATATATCTGATCGCATTTAAACATCCATGATCCTATTGTCATTTTCGCCATATTTAGAATCATATTATTTACAATAATTATTGTGGTTATAAATTAACTGTACTAAAATGTATTTTCTTTGTTCTAGGTAAGTTAAGGCAAACTATCAATTTCACATATTCTTCCATATCGTAAGTATAATTTTTAATCAGCATTACTCACGATTATCTTGAAAGAAAAGAAAATAGAAGATTTAACATAATTATGCAAGGCAGATAAAAAAATCGGTCGCGGTTAAGTGCCCCTCGACAGTACTTTCTCATTAATCATTTTCAATTTGACGTAAAATAAATAAATGCTTTAATTGAAATTGAAAATGCCATTTCCATTTATTTTATTTATTTATATAAAACAATTAATGTAAATAAAGTAAACAAAATAAATAAGATAAATGTGACAAATAAGATGAGATTTATGAGATAAATAAGTCAAATGAGACAAATAAGACTAATGAGACAAATTATACAAATAAGATAAATGAGAAAACTAGACAAATGAGGTGATAGAGGCAAATGAGAAAGAGGAGGCAAATGAGATAAATGAAATAAACAAATCAAATGAGAGAGATTAAACAAATGAGATAAATAAGACAAAAAAGAAACGACGGAAATGAGAAACATATAAATATGACAAATAAGATAAGAGATAAATGAAATAAATGAGAAACGAGGCGAATGGGGCAAATGAGACAAATGACAAATGATATAAACGAGACAAATGAGACAAGCGAAGACGAAATTTATAAACAGTTGGGACAAATAAGGTAAATGAGTGAATGAGACAAATAAGTCAAATAAGAAATGAGAGAAAGGATACAAATGAGAAAAATGAAATAAATGAGACAAATGAGAAATGAGGCGGATGAGGCAAATGAGAAATGATATAAAAGAGACAAATGAGGCAAACGAAGACAAAACAAGACAAAACAATTTATTTTTCATGCATTTCAAATTGGATGTATTGCCGAGACCGACTTTATTTTTTTAATTTAATGAAATTAATTTTAAACCTTTTCTTCCTCAGTAGTGGTTAAAATTACAAGAAATTATCAAGAGTTCTTTCCGATATATTTCCTCATTATGAACAATTTTTACTTGAAACATTTTTTGATTTGACGCAAAATGTTGGCTCCCCTGAGACGTGCTATCGCACCCCGTTCTGCCATATTTTATTTGTGATGCGCCTGATCCGCGCGGGATCAACAGGACATCATTTTGGGGCGGAGTGGAAAGTGTGCAGAGTTTAGGAGTGGAGGGAGAAGTGGGCGGGGCCTAGAAGTCGAGCGGTGGGGGTAGTCTCAACCGACGTCATATCTACTGATAGATGAGAAAGTAATTAATGAAACTTTTGACTTTTTTCTCTTAACATTTTTATGAGAAGAAGTTGTTAAGAAAAAAATGTATCAATATGCTCAACTACTGAGTTTTTGTAAAAGAAAAATAAAAAAAGAATTTTCGGTATAGTTCCTTTTGGAAAGGGTGTCCCAAATTCAAGAGTATCAGAATATATGTGTTTTATTATATAACAACTATAAAAACACCGATATGATATTCTCGAGCTCTTTTTTTCCAAATAACTTCCTTGGACAAAACAGAAATTTTAATTTTCGGATTGTTTTAGTCGAGGTATGATTTTTTTAAGTTTGAAATTTACGTTGAGGTTGATATCTTTATTCAAATAGTTATTGAAACGTATTTCTTCAGTTTTTTCATCAATTATTGTATTTTAATTACATGCATACATATATACATGTATTTTTTTTTGTTTGCCTAGTTTTTCAAAATTAGTTATAAGCAGCGGAAATATTTGCAATTTTTCAGGGCCGGCAGATATATAAAAAATTCTTTTACAAGTTTACAAAAAACACTCCACATAAAAATGTATGCGATGTGTTTATTTATACACCTGTATTATATGGAACTAATATAACCAGTATTGAAACTGGAACTTGCAGGAAGCCGGGCTAAATGTATATAACATTATACGTAGCGTGGTACACGACAGTGTATGGTTATTTTCGCGAAGCAATGTTTAGTATATGGGTCATTCTTTTATAAATCGCACGGATTTCATGAAAAAAAAACTTGACATTTTAGATTCGTCTGAAATTTTTTTTACAGCTTCTATACGTAAAATTAATTGACACGTATTTCAGGATTTTGCTTAAAAAAATTTTTTTCCCGAAAATATCCATTTATGAAGTTTTGGTATTTTGCTGGATTTTCTCCAATCGTCTCATACATGACATTTATTATCTCCAGTTGTACTGATCGGATCGATGTCATTTTTTTACAGTTTACGTGTTGTTACGTTAGCTTTCTAAAAAGAATAAAAAAAAAATTTTTAATGTCAACGTATCAAAAATAATAACAATTTAATTGTTTAAATAATTTTTAGATGCTGTTGACCCAGGTTTAGTTAATTTTAAAAAATACCACTTCATTCTTCATCATGTTCCTTAGAAAATGGCGTCGGTGAAAAAATGGTATCTCTATTAGATCAAAAGTTATTAAATATTTTCGAGCGCTTGTCAGGCGGCGCACTCCGCGCACCTCAGAGGTTTCAGGCATTTGCACCTATTTTATATTAATGAATGTTTACCGTATTGCGTAATAGTTTGAAAATATTTGTTGATAACATTAATGTATAAAAATTAATATAAATAACAAAAAGAACATTATAGTTACTTCCCGGTTACTAAATTAATATTGAATATCACGACGTGAGAAAATAAAAGTAAGAAACTAAATTTAAACACTTTGATTTATTAGCGTCTGAGTAGTATACAAAATGTTTTTTTTGCACAAAGTATACATTTTATTTCATAATTTTAACTTCAATTGCTATCAACCCTGGTTGATAGAATGAATT